AATACTAATAAACAAAATGAAAAAAAAAACAAAATAACAAAATACGACGACATGCCAGTATAAAGCGATACATTAGTAACTCAGAATATAATAAAAAAAAAAACATGATGACTCAAGCAGGAGGGAGGATTTTAATTTACTCTTGAACGAAATACAGTTCAATCCTATAAGGTTCATAGGTAGATCATTGTACGTTTTAGCTATCTGGTAGGAAAAGGATCGGTGCGAGGCGCGGCGTGGTACCGTCAATACATCTTTCCTCCTTATATTAATGTTATGGACATCGCTTCTGAAAGATAGGCGTTGCAGCAAGTAAGGAGGCCGCTGACTTTTAATAATTTTATAATAAACGCAAGTTGCATGCAGTTTACGTCTGTTTTTCATGTTCAACCACCCAGTCTCTGCCAACTTATGACTAATATGGTCATATTTACGAATTCCGTAAATAAACCTCAGACAACCGTTCTGAAGGTTCTGGATACGACGCCCACTCGCCTCCGTTAAATTTGGACCATAAACAACGTCGCAGTGATTTAATTTGCTTAGAACCAAGCTATCACACAGCATAATTTTTAATTTTTTACTTAAGACATCCCTATGGGCATACAAGAGACGCAGGGCGCCATACCCACCCCTCAAGCACCTGGCCACATGCTCCTCAAACCTCAACTGATGATCCAATGTGACTCCTAAAATTTTTATATCATCAGAAACAGTAAGAGGTTCGCCATCCACCACCAATTGACCGGATATCAAAGGCTTAATCGCTCTCCTTGTGACACTACCGCAAAACAGAAGAACAGAAGACTTAAATGGATTTAGCACAAGTTCATGGCGTTTCGCAACATCAGAAAATAATGCTATATCTGAGTTAAATTTTATGCAGGCATCAACCCAATTATTTGGATTAAAATTCAGCAGAAGCTGTGTATCGTCTGCATACAAGTGAATCTGCGAATGCTCGAGAACCTGGTCAAAATCAGATGTATAAATAGAGAACAATAGTGGCCCCAAAATGGACCCCTGAGGGACTCCACGAGTAACAGACAGAGCGCTCGACACTTGACTATTAATCTTCACAACCTGAGACCTGTCCGACAAAAATGACTTTATCAAAATTGCAGCTTGATTTCCAAGACCAAAATAATTAAGTTTAGATGCAAGTATATTATGATTTATTGTATCAAATGCTTTGGTGAAGTCCAACGATAACAAAAGTGCGGCTTGCCCGGCCTCTCTAGAAGCAAATACATCATCAGTAAGGTTCAATAAAGCTGTTGCGCAGCTGAAACCCGAACGAAACCCAGATTGTTGATCTGGCAGTATACTATACCTTTCGCAGTGTGCTCTAAGTTGCTTTTCCAAGACTCTCTCTAAAATTTTTGACATTACTGGGAGGATACTGATCGGTCTAAAATCCCTTAGGGCAGAAGGGGAAGATACTTTAGGTAATGCAATTACTTCAGCCATTTTCCAGGCATCCGGAAAAACTGATTGATGAACAGCAGCGTTTATTACGTGAGTAATATAAGGAATGAGAAAAGGGGTACACAAGTCAATCATCCAGATTGAGATACCATCAGAACCCACCGCTGCAGTTTTAATGTTATTAATTATTATAGATACTTCATGTTCATCAACAGGCATAAAAGCTTGCATTATCTGCACTCTAGGGTTTACATTATTTTGATAAAATATGGGTAATTCGGGATCAGTCTGGATATAAAGTGAAGAATCACCGTGAACAAAATAATTATTTAAATCGTTTGGAAGAAAAATGTTAGGCACTTTGTTATCGATTTTTTTATTTATATTTAGAAGTTTAATCTTTCTCCAAAGAGCCTTCTTTTCAGCCCGCACCGTTGATGTTACCAGATTGAAATGCAACTTGTATGATTAGTCTACCAAGATATCGTAGTCTGCATAATCGTAAAATTTCAGCGACATTTAACATAAATTAAAATCATATTTAATTTATCTTCTTAATAGTCTCAGTATGCGATAAGCACAACGCCAAATCTAGCAATTTGTTTGACTTATCTCCTTTGCAAATGCATATAGAGAAAGTGGCTAGAACTACCATTTATAGATTTAAGCAATATGCTCAAAACTGTTCCAATGCTGTTTGTTGATCTTTTATGCTTTATCAATATTTGCATGTTCACAGATGGATCAAAAATGCTGGAAGGGGTCGGAACAAGGTGCTAAAATCCTTCTTGAAAGAGGGGTGGAGAACATGACAGTACGAATTTTCTCAGACAGTCAAGCCGCTCTCCAGGCGCTGCAAGCCATGAAAATGGTATCAGTTCTGGTTAATGACTGTAAGAGAACATTAAACACAGTGAGTTGTGATAACAGAGTTTCTCTGATCTGGGTCCCAGATCACTATGGAGTTGCTGGCAATGAAGCGGAAGATGAGCTAGCGCTAAAGCGTTTGTGGGGCCAGAACCAGCAGGATTCGACTATGGACTGAAGAGAGACTTCGCCTACTATGGACCAGTTCTTCTGGAATGAGACGCTAAGGTGTTTATTAACATCGCCACTGTCAAAGCCGGGAATACTTTAGGACTTAAGTTCTAATGGACACTGCCGATTAAAAACACACCTCAACTTGTTGGGTCTAGCCGACGATGTTGAATGCCGACTATGTTCGCAGGATGAGGAGACGGTTGAGCATGTTTTATGTCATTGCCCTGCTGTTAATCGTATCAGATTCTTGATTTTTGGTTGGTCTGCCTACCCGATATGTAATCTATGTAATCTAAGAACAGATATATACAAGTGGTTGTGGTGGTTAAAAGAAGAAAATCTCAGTTTGAGCAAAATTCGTAATTCCACAAAACTCAGGTTTCGTTTGACTTTGACCTTGGTTCTTCGTCTTTTGAGAATCGCAAAGACCTTGTGGCGCTGCATTAATTGACCTTGGGTTGCTGACAATGTGTTAATTAATTTTAGGTTGATATGAAATTTGTTCCAATCACATTTTTGACTGCTAATGAATCATCAATTTGACGTGATTTAGCCTAACACTGTTTATTAAGGTTAGGTATGTTAGATGTTTCACAAAGCGTATCTTATTTTGTTTTTGAATCATACTTGGGTATTGTATTGCACTTTCATTTAGCAGCTTAAATTTGTATCCTTGATTTTAGACGTGCCATTCTCTCGAAAGTTTGTTTCGACTTATTTTTGTACAATGAATTGAAATCATTTAGGAATAACTTATAAAATTATTGTAGTATAATTTATATTGAGGAAAATAAGATTTTTAGTAATTTTGATTCATTTAATGCACTGGCTTCGTATTTGGTATCACCTAGTTAAAGTCAATATTTATTAAATGATTACATAATGTTGATATAATTTTTTAACAGTAAACATCTGATAAAGTCTTGGTATGGATAAGTGTTTTTGGTTTGATTTTGTAGAAGATAACTAAAATCAGTAATAAAAAATAATATTTTTCTGATTTATTAATATTGTTTAGGTGTCACCATCTATTAAAATTAAAACCAACTATTCGTGGGAATCTGTTTAGAAAATGATTACCAAAATTTGAATAAATATTTAACTTTGCTCAAAAAATTACAATTGTTTGAGTTTAAATTTAATTTTGGGTTTATAAAAAAATCTATATGAACAATGGGTTTTATTTTATAATAAAGCAAAAATTGTTTGTTGAGAAGAACAATGTTATTTGATTAATATTAATATAACGAAGTGAAACTAAAAATCTAATCGCCATCTGACGATTACCATCCTAAATAGATGTTATATCGACGAAATTCTTCGCATATCTAACACCATGACTGTATTTTCGAGAATGTTCGTAGAACCAGTTCTATTGTGAAATAACAAGATATTATGCACGTCCGGTGTGTGTTATCAAAAGAAAATTTAAAATCTTTGAAAACGCAATTGAAAACCATACAATATAATTTATCGACCCAGGCTGGAGCCTGGGCAATTTCCATAGCAACTGTTGGTTCTGTCTCCCACTTCATTTATATATTTAGTATATAAAGTATATAACGATATTAGCGATAAAGAATGATTAGTTGCGTATTTGAAATAGGGTGTGATGTCATGATTCCTTTTTTATGATTATCTATATTAGTCCATAGCACATTGCAACGTAAATTTACGTTACTTATACGTTTTAATATTACGTAATCTGTTTTGGCGTTTTGTACAAATGAATGAAACCGACCTATAAGTACCTCGGATATGACTAAACCGACGATGCGTCACCTATTTAGTTGGTTATATTAATAAAATCTGCGAAAGCTATCGAAGTCATTTCATTTCTTTTCTAGTACAATTATTGTATTCGATTGTAATTGAAGCAGTCTGTAGACTCTAGATTGTAGACGGCCGGACGGGAGTCTGTTCTGTTTTTACGAACCTTTGTGAGGTATTGATTTTTATTTTCTCCGCGTGAGTGATTCTCCGTTGGTACGCGATTTTATTAGATGGTGCAAATTTAAAACACGTGATAATTGCAAAACGAATTTATTTATAACGTCGTTTTGTATCATCGTGGTTAAATTATTATTATTATTATTATTATTAAAGAATTTTATTTGATAAATACGGGTATTAAGGGTTTTGATTTATGCTATATTAATAAAAGAAATTAAATTTAAAAAATTTAAATAATAAGACAGAATGTTCTATATCCGTTCGTTTTGCGCATGGTGAGAAAACGTTGGTCGGTTAAGGTTGGCAACGCATAGGCTCTCTCAGTCATTAGTAGCTCTGTCGCTGTTGGAGCGGTGCGGTACAGCAACGTATTTTGCCGGTTTTCCCACGAATTGAAACGCATTTTCCGATTTAAGTAAGTAAAATAGGCGAGTTATCGATACTTTTTCGGTAAGCACACGGCGTTTTCATATCGTTTTTGACCCGAACCGCGTCGTTTCGGATAGAAAATCCATAAAATAGACCGAACAGTAGCGAGGTTCGGGTGGCCGCCATCTTGTGTCCTTGTATTACAGTTTGTGGACCCCAAATCGACCGAGCGTCGTAGTCTCGTTCTAGTCTTTGCCGCATGTGCTCGCGTTTCCGACTCCTTTCCGTATTTTTGATTGTTTCATTTAGAGAGAGTAAGTTTTTTGCTATTAATATCAATTATGATTGCGTTTCCGGTGAATACACGTTTTTGAACCAGTTTTTTTTGCAAGTGTGTAGTGTCTTATTTTTAAACGTAACGGATTTTTTTTTAGTTTGAAGGTTAAACTAAAAAAAAAGAAAAAAAAATGAAAACAATTTCTTTTAGATTATTGTAAAAAAAATTATCGTTCTCTTTTTTTTTTGGAGGGATGCGTCACACACGTCGTTTCTATTGGTTTCTAGCGATGTGTGTGGCGCCGCGCTCGGACGTAGCGGCGAGTTTATCGTTTCTTCGTCATCGGCCATTGTAGAAAGAAAAAGTACCCCAACGTTCTTTTCTCAGGGTAGGAGCCACCTCGTTTCAATATCGTTTTGTAATCGTTTAAGCTTCGAGATCAAAATTTCGAATAACCGGTTATTACGGCTTATTAATATTGCGTCTTATTAATTTCCCCGAAAGGTGTGGTCGGCGACGACGCCATATTGGCGAACATCTTTGGGATACGCGGTGGGTTGTCAATATTTTAGGGGGTACGAGAAGAGGGGTGGTGGCGGTTATCCGCACTACGCGTCTATAAATAGTCTCTCTTTTATACTCTCCCTGGAAAGGTTAACAAGCCTTTAAACTTGAACTCTTAGCTAGTAGCTTCTCATTACTACTTTCATTAATCCCATTTTTTAGGCTAGACTTAGATTGAAATTGTTGTCGAGATGTCTCAAGTGGACAAGGATGAACTGGTGCAGCGTGCCAAGTTGGCTGAACAGGCGGAGCGCTACGATGACATGGCTTCTGCGATGAAGTCCGTCACTGAAACCGGTGTAGAACTCAGCAATGAGGAGCGAAACCTTCTTTCTGTTGCCTACAAGAACGTCGTCGGCGCCAGGAGGTCTTCATGGCGAGTTATCTCCTCCATCGAACAGAAGACTGAAGGCTCTGAAAGGAAGCAGCAAATGGCCAAGGAGTACAGAGAAAAAGTCGAAAAGGAATTAAGAGAGATCTGCTATGATGTACTTGTAAGTCATCCATTTTCTATTATTGACCCAATTATTAAAAAAGATTATGAGTTAAATTGGGTTCATCCACAACCTTAACATAATATACATCTAAAGAAAGGGTGTGGCATAACTTATTTGCCACACCCTTCATATATTAATCCATATATTTAATGATTTATTAGGGTTTGTTGGACAAATACCTAATTCCAAAAGCAAGCAACGCAGAATCTAAAGTGTTCTACCTTAAGATGAAAGGAGATTACTACCGGTATCTAGCAGAGGTGGCAACCGGTGACGCCAGAAATAGTAAGTGCAAAAATAAAATTGAAAAAATCCAAATAAAGTGTGTTATACATATATTAGTATAAATAGAACGCGGTTGTCGCGAGATCCATCCGAATTTAGTTGGGGAGTCACTTTGATTGTTTCTGTTTCGTTTGAAAATTTCAGCTGTAGTTGACGACTCGCAGAAAGCATATCAGGACGCGTTTGAGATTTCGAAGGCCAAGATGACGCCGACGCATCCAATCAGGCTAGGATTGGCGCTGAACTTCTCAGTTTTCTATTATGAAATTTTAAATTCCCCAGAAAAGGCCTGTCAACTGGCCAAGCAGGTTAATTATAATTTTTATATATTTTTTATCAACTTTCCAGCAGGTGCAGAATTACATGTGTCTTCATATTGAGTTTTAATAAACTTTACTTCTTCAACTTTATTTTTTTTTTGTTTTTCACGTGTGCAGCTGTGGTAGAAGATTCGCAAAAGGCCTACCAGGAGGCGTTCGATATCGCAAAATCAAAAATGCAATCGACGCACCCCATCCGGCTCGGTTTAGCGCTTAACTTCTCCGTATTCTATTATGAAATTATAAATTCTCCGGCGAGAGCTTGTCATTTAGCCAAACAGGTTAGGAGTATTGAGTGTGGTTATTATCCCGACCTCTCCTAATGCATCATAATAATAATAATAACAAGACATGTAATTCTGCATTTGTACGAAAATTTTATTTTTTTTATTTTGATTTTTTTTACTAACTGCAAGTCATAATGTAGATTTTAATCATGATATTAACTTTTTAAGCTTAATAATGACACTATTTTATTTTATTATTTTTTTTTTCAATCATAATTTGGACGATTTTCTTGCTCAGGCTTTTGATGATGCAATAGCAGAACTCGACACATTAAATGAAGATTCGTACAAGGATAGTACCCTAATAATGCAACTCCTTCGAGATAACCTCACGCTCTGGACAAGTGACAACCAGGTATACTTAAAAAAATTAATTTAAGTACCTCTTTGCTTATTTTTTTGATGTTTTTGTTTAGGGTGAAACGGATGAGCCCCAAGAAGCAGGTGATAATTGAAAAGTGTGGTGTCCGTTTTTAAAATTAATCGTTAAATTTCATGTAAGTTAACGTATTCGTGGAACTGGTTGTGAAGTTTCACATGAAACTTTTGATAATTAAGAATGTTTTTAGTGAAGCGTAAAATGTTTACGTTTATGTTCCACATTTACACAACTTAGTTTATTCTATCTCCACCATCCGAAGGAAGTTGTGTGCGTTCGATATGTCAATTGGGCAAATTTTTTTTTTCTCGGACCGTCCCCGCAGCACGAAAGTGACTCGAAAAGCGAGTCACTCGGGGTCGGTAGTATATATTTTTTTTCTAATTACTTGTATAATTTATTTGAGTTCTTTTACTATTCTAATTTGTTAAAATATTAAAAGATTATTTAACAATTATTTAGTTCTTATTACTTATTTTTCATCAATTCTTTCATTTTTATTTTGTATTTCGTCAAAAAACCTCTCGAATCACGGTACCTAAGTTGTTTCGTTTTAATCGTCATAAAACAAAAGGAAACTATTAGTCCACTTTATTTGCACTTTATCTGCATGAGCCGTTAAAAAGTTCCGCTCTCCCTTTTTCTGCCTCCATTTGTACTATCCTCCCCCTCATCCAAAAAGAACCCGTCCCAAAGAGATATCTCTCCCTTATTTACCATCAAAAACTCACTTTGGATGTGCTATATATATAAATGTATGAATATGTATTAAAATAAACTGCTATCAGCTACTTGTTTTCTGTTGTATCCGCGAATTATATTTGTCAGATATAAAAAAAAAAAATAAATTTTTAAAAACCTCCGTTATGGATTTCAATATTTTTACTTTATTATTTTTTAACTTCGAAAAAAAGCGGTAAGTATGTATGGTAAGTATTTCAGAAATACTTAAATCGCCATTTGCGGTCAGAATTATTCGGGGCGATTAAGTTAGTAATTCTTCATTTTTATCAAATCATTGCTTTGATGTACTAGAATATGTAGGATTTAGAGTTGATGTAAAAATGGCTATGTGCATACTCGTGCACTGTGAAGGAACGGAATCTTAAAAATCTCGTGTATATGTTACAGACCATATATGTAAACAAGACCGTATACAAAAGGACTAGTCCATATGTAAATGGACTGAAATTATTAGTCTATATGTGTAAGAAGCTTGTTCTTTAATAAACGGACTAGTCTATTTATAAACGGTCCATCTGCAAATAGACGATATACATATTACTGTAATATTTTAAACAAAGAAAAAAATGCATTTTTTATTTATTTGTACAAGTTAGACTATTGTGACATTTTGAGTTACATAATACATTATTTTTTCGACAAGCACATTTGTTTGACTGACATTTAGTCTTACAGTAACATTTTTTGAAACCTTGCCCATGCCCAGTAGATTGACTTGTAGCCACCGATCTAAGAGAAACTTCCTTATCTTTGGTGATTTCTTCAATTTTCAAAATGTTAGCAGGACATATACTAAATTCTGAACGACTGTAGTATTTTGAAATGACTCCTAGTTTTGTACCCAAGCGGTAAAAACCATCTTCTGTAGCTTCTAACACTACCGCTAAAACTGACCGAGCATCTCCCCTGCCACGATCGACATCTGGAACAGGAATCCTCACAGTTGATCCAATCTGTGGTTTTGGATGGGTGCTATCTGATATTAATTTCATTCGTTTTGCCTGTGCTTGTAATCCATCATAAGCGCCCTTTCTGGCATTTGCTATGTTTCTGTTTCTATTGCAAAAATTGCAAATATTTTCCAAGGACGTGCTCTCAGCATGTGAGGCATCACGATTAGTGGGATTGAAACAACTACCGCATATTTCATACGAGAGTGTTTGAGTGTTATTGTTATTTTCTAGTGGTACATTTTCGGTCGTTGCTGTTTGGTGCAATTGGGATTGTCCGGTTTGTGTGTTGTCAGTAACAACCAACGTAACCACTTCTTCTAAATCTTTTTCTGTTGAAACACCTTCCAGCGCTGGTTGCTCTGTTTCCAGTTGAACGGTTTCTGTGTTTTCAATCAGAATAGAATTAATCACATTTTCCAGATCTTCTTCGGTTGTTACGCTATCCATTGCTTCTAATGGAATATTAGAAGTTTTTAATCCAATTTTCGGTTTGTCCCCGAACATGGCCTCATATGGAGCCCTTTTTATTCCAGAGTGCAAAGATGTGTTCTTCATAAATTGTATGAATCGTAGACCTTGACTCCAATGCTCTGTTTCGTTTTCCAACATCCAAGTTGTTAACATGTTCTCCACGTCTTGATTAGCGCGTTCGACGCTACCCTGACTTTGACTGTGACGCGGTTTTCCATGGACCAGTTTTAGTTCAGGCCACAAACTTTTTAATTCTTCAATAATTCTATTGCAAAATTCGCGTCCATTGTCAGATTGCAAAACTACAGGAGCCCCAAAAGTGGTAAAGATGTCTACAAGGTGGTAAGCGACTTCTTCTGCGCGTTTACTTTCAAGTGGTCGCAGAATAACAAATTTTGTTAAGTGATCCTGGTACACCAGGACAAATCTGTATTTACCATCAGCATGCGACTGATAATCGATTAAGTCTACTTGACATCTGGAATTCAGATCATTGAAGATCATCGGTTTTGATATAATTCCCTTCTTTTCCCTTTTTTGTTTCATTTGACATTTGAAAATTTCAGTACGCACTATATTCTTGTATTTTTCCTTTGTTTTTTTCATCATGCGATCTCTACCACCATGACCTGCAAGTAAAAAGTGATTTTATTAATTACCTACTCCATATATGACTCCAATTACAGAACATATCTGTGGATGTGTGTAGTTCTTGAAGAATGTTAAACAACTCGTCGTCATGAACGTAATATATTATATCAACTAAATTATTGTTAAGAGGCACTATCAGTTTTTCTACCCCCTGAACAGATAACACATCATAATGCTTTAAGAGCCAGCGTATTCTTGGACTTTTTTTTTAGCAGTAAAATTGTGGAAATCTATTGCATTAAACAGTAAAAACGTTTAAATTTTAACGAATGTCACCACTGTGCTTATTTTGCTGCAAAATATTTTGTAAATTGGAGCAAAACGAGACAAAAACTAAACGGCAACTAGACACTTGCGATTGAACATACAGTCTAAATTACGGTAGTCGGTATGTAAATGGTCTAGTCCGTATATAAAATACCTCGTCATTTCCATACGGTCTGTGCCATCTAGACCGTATAGATACCGCCTAGACCGTATACTTACGGTCTGATTTCATGTACGGCCTGTAACATATACAAATGATTGCATTAAGCGCTTATATCCTATAGTATAATCGTCATCACGAAAGTCGCTGCGAAGTGGGTTGCCTACAGATGAAAGATTCTCGAAAATATAGCTAGATAATTTTCTCATCGTGGCTCCCTCTGTTGGTCCTGACGAAACTCGGACGGTTCAGGAAATTATTTTCTTAAATTTTAGTTTTAGAGGATGATGAAATGATTGTGGATGATACATCAGAATCAGAAATTAACAGACCCTCATCGAATTCTACATTCAAAAGTTGAAAAAATCAAACTCAAAATTTATGCTAAATAGCACCAAAGCAGCCATTTCAATTATTCATAGTTTAAAAAGTCTTCTTGATACACAATATACAATAATTATTAAATACACAACCCAACTGGAAGGAGATAAACCAAGATTAAGCCAAGTAACTGCATGCTTTTATAAGTTGGAAAGTCATTTTGACACACTCTTTGCTTAAACAAGAGAAAAGGAAGTAAAAAACTTTTTAGTTAAGAAATAAGCAAATGGTAATAAATCCAATCCATCTTGCTGCAAATATTCTAGATCCAAATTTTAATGGAACTCATCTTAACATAGCTGAGCATAGATGAGTGATTTCAAAGTGATTTCAAAGAAGCTTCAGCATCTACAGCTTTATTCACACTGCGAAAAGAAATTGGCTTACGGCTGAACGAGGTTCATGTTTTAATTCGCTTTTAAAACACATTTCTGCGCTGTTGTTCGGTGCTCCACGTATTGCGTGTGTAGTATAGTTGAGTTATACGCAAATTGTGAAATTAGTATACAAAAAAAGTTGAAATATTCCAAATCTTCTGATAGCGAAAGTTATAGTTCTGGTATAAATAACGATTTTGGAGCGACTCTGGTCTTCCTCGATCAAATACAAGGTCTCAATAAAGACAGCCCATTTGAGATATTTGAAACATTTTTCACTGATGAGGTTATAAATATTATTGTAATTGAAACTAATCGATACGTCAGCAAATTTTTAGATTACATTAAATTACATCACCTAGATTACATATCGGGTAGACGGACTATCCAACCTTGCACCGCGACCCTAAGGTTGTATAAATAACGTTATCAAATTTCACCGTGCAGTCCAATGCTCTTAACCCCTTGGGTTCATTTGACGAATGAGACTTGTCATCGATATGTATAATGTTATAAATGAATCAGGACTCAAGGGGTAATACCTTGCTCGGTGAAAAGTCATTCAGATCCTTTGCGGAGATAAACTGCGATCCAAAAATAGTAGGACATGTCAGAACAGTTTTGAGCATATTGCTTAAATCTGTAAATGGTAGTTCTAGCCACTCTCTATATGCAGATGCAAAGGAGATAGACCAAGAACATCCAGAAAGGAATCCCAGAAAAAGCTAAAAACAGTTTAGAAAGAAACTGGCGGACAATTATTTACATTTTTATGCCTCTGCCAGAAAGAGATAACTGTTGCCAAATTCATAGAAAACTTGGTGGTAAAAAACATTATCTAGAGATGCTAAGATAGTGTCCGTTGTTATTTAATTTTTGAGTTCAAACCAAGCAATTCGGATTTTATTTTATTAATAATAATAATAATACTTTATTCCCTCCATTTTACCAAAAAAGCGTAGAGTACGTCAATTTAATAATAATTGTCTCTCAGTCTTCTCCGGAATCCTGGAACTGGCAGGATCTTTGTACCTTCCGAAATGTGATTGAAAATTTTGATACTCTGGTACAGAGCCGTCTTCTGAATCTTAGTAAGGTGCGTTTTTGGTGGCACTTCACCTTCCCGCGCGTCTTTCGAGGATGTGATATTTCATATTTTTTTAAAAATTCAAAGTAATTCTTCCTAGCCAATACAGCACATTCCAGAATATAAATTCTATACAAGGTAGGTATTTTATAGTCTTTAAAGTAACTTCTACAGCTATCAGTATTTTTTAGACCAAAGATAGCAATCTTTGGTCTAAATACATCGTCTTATACACCTCTTCTGCAGTATGAAGATTTTATCTATACTAACACCACGGCCCCAAAAGACAACTCCATATCTTAGCAAGGAATGGACTTAATGCTGCCTCAATGCCAGCTGATCTGGAAATAATCCGAATGGCATAGGAGAAATGACTGATCTTGCCAGCAAGGAAATCAATATGATTGGTCCAAGACAGTCCAGGATCCATTTTCCAACCTAGAAACGAAATCTCTTCAACATCGGCAATTTCAGTATCCCGATACCTCGCCTTGATCTGGTTAGAGTATAAATGATAATTAAAAATTTTCGTTTTTTTTGTACTTAACTTTTTTAATTTCTGGATTTCATAATCAGTGTTACACCTCGGCACAATCGTTGTGTCATCCGCAAACATTATCGTAATGTTGTTCGTTACACGGAACCCTGAGGTACTCCCAGCTTGACTTCTCTCCATGCTGATCTTATTTCTGTCCCCTGTTCATTGTGGGCAACTACACATTGTAACCTCCCTGATAGATAGGATTTCATCCAAAGAAATTGTATAACTAG